GCCCTTAAGGCATGTGGATTCAGCTGAAAAGCCCATGAGACTATTTCAGGCATGGAAAGCCAAGACACTCTGGGGGAAAAAAAAACAACCCTAAATGAAAGATCTCCGTGAGTGAGATCCCAGTGGAAAGAATGGGTCATCAAAGAAGGCGGTACCTTTCTCTGAAGGGAGGAGAGAACTTCCACTTTGACCATGGCCTTGTCTAAATATGATCAGAGTCGGTGAACTCAAAAGGCTTCCATAGCCTTGGCAGCTCATGACAAGAGCCTAGGGTGATTACTGATGCCATAAACAAGAGTGTCAATTTGTTAAGTCAACAACAGGAGTCACTGTGCACTTACTCCTCATGTAGGATCTCTGTCCTTAGTGTGCTGTACATTGAGATTTAATGCTATAACTAGTACTCAAACAGTATTTTTCACTTTATGTTTCTGTGTGGGAGCAAACTGTTGAAATCTTTACTTAATGTATGCTAAACGGATCTTCTGTATATAAAGAGAATCGAAAATGAATCTTGATGTGAATGGAAGGGGAGAGGGAGTGGGAAAGGGGAGGGTTGCGGGTGGGAGGGATGTTATGGGGGGGAAGCCATTGTAATCCATAAGCTGTACTTTGGAAATTTATATTCATTAAATAAAAGTTAAAAAAAATGTGCATTATAAAAGAGCTATGCCTGTGGCCAGCCTTATGGCCTAGAAAAAAAAAAAGGTATAAAATCAACATAGGTGTCTATTGATGTATGAATAGATGAAGAAAATGCAATATATAAAATAAAAAAAAATTTGGCTATAAAAAGAATGAGTTCCTAACATTAGCCACAAAATGGATTTAACTGGAAGTTATTATGTTAGATGAAATCAGCCAGACATAGAAAATTGAATATTACATTTTATCCCTGTCATGTGGAAGTTTATTAAATGTAGACCTGAAGTTGGAATAATGATTATTAGAGATTAGGGATTTTGGGGGTAGGATAGAAAAAGGTTGGATAAAGAGTACCAAAATAGAATAAATCAATTTTAATGTTCCACAGCACAAAGAGGTGCCCGCAGCTCATAATAATGTATTTTTGTTTATTTTTTTGAAAACATATATATTAATATTACAAAATGGATTCATGGCAGTGATCAAAACATGGGGAAAGTAGCATATTCTCATATACATGGTATAATTCAGAAAAGCAGTATTTATAACTATATACAAATATATATCCAGGTAATTATTATACTCTGTTGATATAAACTTCCACAAATAACAGAAGATATGTGATATAGTTGCTTCTGGGTCTGTATTTTCACTTGGCATGAGTGTGTCCCTTTTGTGGTGAATGTCGGGAATTCATTCATTTTTTGAGGCTGGGTCAAATTATTCCATGTATATATAATATTTGCTTTATCTAACTTTCAGTTTATGAAGATCTTGACTGATTCCATATCCTCTCTGTTGTGGATTTGGCTGCAATAAACATGGGTATAACTCTTTAAAAAAAAAAAAGAAACTCAACAACAAAACAAATAATCTGGTTAAGAAATGGGCAAAGAACTTGAACAAGCATTTTTCTTGAGAGGAATGTCAAATGGAAAACAGACACATGAAAAAATGTTAAGGATCACTAGCAATCTGTGACATGCAAATCAAAACCACACTGAGGTTTCACCTCACCCCAGTTAGAATGGCATTCATACAGAAATCAAGAAACAACAATCCTGCTGGCAAGGATGTGGGGAAAAGGTACCCTAACCCACTGTTGGTAGGAATGTTTGAACTAGTGCAGCCACTCTGGAAGACAGTGTGGAGATACCTCAGAAATCTGAACTTAGACATACCATATGACCCAGCCATCCCACTCCCTGGAATTTCCCCAAAGGCAAAGAAATCAGCATATGAAAGAATGCTCTGTATCTCCATTTTTATTGCAGCTCAATTCATAATAGCTAAGATATGGAAACAACCCAGATGTCCATCAACCTAAGGCTGGATAAAGAAATTATGATAAATATATATACACTATGGAATACTCCACAATAGTTAAAAAATGAAATGCAGTCTTTTGCAACAAAAGCAATGTAACTGGAAACCATTATATTTAGTGAATTAAGCCAGTCCTAAAAAGACAAAGACAAATACCAACTGGTTTCCCTGATCTGTGGCAACTAATAGAATATCCAAAAGGTAATCCATAGAAATGAAATTGACACTTTGAGATGTCATGATTTTGAAGAGCCCTTGTCTTGACTGTTGAGGAACAGTGCTTTTTGTCCCCCCTTCACTCTATTTTTTGAACTTTTTACTTAGTGTAGGGTTAATCTTCTGAGTATAAAGTTAACTGAAAATAAATCTTTGTAAAAAATAAGAATGGGAATAGAATTGAGGAAGAATAAGGGAGGGAGTGCATGCAAAAGGGAGGGTAGGGTAGAAAGAATAGTTGTATATATGAAATGCATGAAGTTTGTATACCTGACATAAAATGTGTCTAGGTAAAAAAATAAAATAAAAACCTTCTCCTACTGTACTTTGACAGATTTCTTAGTTTTTATCTTTTCCTTGACATCTAATTCCTACCTCCAAGTCTACTTCCAAGTATCCTCTGCATATATTGTCCGTATTTTGCAAGTTTCCAATTTTACTCAGTGTGTTCCTCATTTTTGCTCATTTTTAAAGAAAAAATACCTGGCAAAAAAAAAAAAAAAAAAAAAAACTAAATGAAAGATCTCTGTGAGTGAGATCCCAGTGGAAAGAACAGGTCTTCAAAGAAAGAGGTACCTTTCTCTGAAGGGAGGAGAGAACTTCCACTTTGACTATGACCTTGTCTAAACAAGATAAGAGTCGGAGAACTCAAGGGGCTTCCATAGCCTTGGCAGCTCATGACTGGTGCATAGGGAGATTACTGATGCCATAAACAGGAGTGTAATTTGTGAAGTCAACAACAGGAGTCACTGTGCACTTACTCCTCATGTAGGATCTCTGTCCTTAGTGTGCTGTACATTGAGACTTAATGCTGTAACGAGTACTCAAACAGTATATTTCACTTTGTGTTTCTATGGGGGTGCAAACTGTTGAAATCTTTACTTAATGTATACTAAACTGATATTCTGTAAAAAAAAAAAAAAGAAGAAATTATCAGTTCCCAACTTGACTCTCACTGGGATTAAACATGACAATAGGTCTGATCTGATTTCATCATCATTTAAAAAATCATCTATTATTTTTCACTTTATGTTTCTGTGTGGGAGCAAACTGTCAAAATCTTTACTTAATGTATGCTAAACTGATCTTCTGTATATAAAGAGAATCGAAAATGAATCTTGATGTGAATGGAAGGGGAGATGGAGTGGGAAAGGGGAGGGTTGTGGGTGGGAGGGACGTTATGGGGGGGGAAGCCATTGTAATCCATAAGCCGTACTTTGGAAATTTATATTCATTAAATAAAAGTTAAAAAAAATTTTCCAAAGTACAACTTTTGCATTATAGCAGCTTTTCCCCCCATAACCTCCCTCCCACCCACAACCATCCCATCTCCCACTTTCGTTCCCAACCCATTACTCATCCTGATTCATTTTCAATTATCTATATACAGAAGATCAAGTTAGTATATACTAGGTACAAGATTCATTTTTAATTATCTTTATATACAGAAGATCAATTTAGTATATACTAAGTAAAGATTTCAACAGTTTGCACCCACACAGAAACACAAAGTATAAAGTACTGTGTGAGTACTAGTTATATATTCACATAGTATAAAGCATTAAGGACAGAGATCCTACGTGGGGAGTAAGTGCACAGTGACTCCTGTTGTTGATTTAACAATTGACACTCTTATTTATGATGTCAGTAATCACCCAGGGCTCTTGTCATAAGCTGCCAAGGCTATGGAGCCTCTTGAGTTTGCCAATCCAATCTTATTTAGACAAGGTCATAGTCAAAGTGGAAGTTCTCTCCTCCCTTCAGGGAAAGGTACCTCCTTCTTTGATGGCCCGTTCTGTCTGCTGGGATCTTTCATTTAGGTGTTTTTTTTTTTTTTTTTGCCAGAGTGTCTTGGCTTTCCATGCCTGAAGTACTCTCATGGGCTGTTCAGCTAGATCTGAATGCCTTAAGGGCTGATTCTGAGGCCAGAGTGTTGTTTAGGATATCTGCCATTCTATGAGTCTGCTGTGTATCCTGCTTCCCATGTTGGGTTTTTATTTCCTTTTTAGTTCTATCAGTTAATATTAGCAGACACTAGTCTTGTTTATGTGATCCCTTTGACACTTAATCCTATCATCATGATCAATTATGAACTGACATTGATCACTTTGACTAGTAAGATAGCATGGTATATGCCACCCCTATGGGATTGAATTGGAATCCCCTGGCACGTTTCTAGCTCTGCCATTAGGGGTAAGTTTGATTGAGCAGGTGCTGAACTGTATGTCTCCTCCCTCTCTTATTCCCACTCTTAAATTTAACAGGGATCACTTTTCAGTTAAATTTAAACACCTCAGAATAATTGTGTGTTAATTAAAGAGTTCAACCAATGGTATTAAGTAGAACAAAAAATACTAAAAAGAATAAAGCATTAAGTTGTTCCTCGACAGTCAGGACAAGGGCTGATCAAGTCATTTCACTTCAACAGATTTCCTTTTAGGTGCTCAGTTAGTTGTCACCGATGAGGGATAACATATGATATTTGTCCCTTTGGGTACATTTCCAGTCTTTTAAAATAAACTGGAGCTTTTGAAGGCAGGATCCATGTCATTGCCATTACTCTATTTCCAGTGTTTAACAGAGAAAATGGCTATGTGGTGTGTCTATTTAGCTAGGTCTATAATCAGGAGAAAATAGTGGCTCTTTTTCCAAAGGTGATACAAAAAATCTGCATTTGGAAATCTGAGCAGCTGAAGTAGAGCTAAAGCAGTTGCTGAGGGAGTCAAATGTTAGGGTATGTTAAATATTATTTTTAAGCTCATTGCATTATAATTTTCTCACTGTATATCATAACCTGTATTTATTTTTCATAGGAATTAATGGTTCAGGAGTCCAGAAGAATGGGTGGTGGATAATGCAAGCACTAGTGCAGACTTGAGGTACAACAGTGAAATATGATAAATGAACATATTGTGAAGATTTCTCTTGGTGAACAGTAGCATTTAAGTGTTTTTGTTGTAAGTAAAATGTGTGAAAGTAGACAGCTTTCCGCATACCACTATCTTGGCCTACCCTATGGATATTTCTTAATATAATTTTAACCAATTTTTATTCAAGAACAACTGAAGGAAATAATGCACTTTTGGGGTAGGAGTCAAATATATACATTTAAGTACTTGAATCTTTCTATATTGGCCACTTAAATTCTTAGTGTAAAATTTGTACTTGACACTTAAATTCATTGTGATAACATATTGGTCTTATAATTTTGTCATAAAGCCAATTCCAAAAATGTTGGTCATTGGTACATTTATAAATTAGCTTTAAAATCTGGTTACAAAATAATTACATATAATATGATTCAATTTCATATAGAAAATACTTAAATATATTTCTGTATGTGAATGACTCAGTATAGGAAAAAAACTTCAAGGTTCCATACATGAGTTAGTTCTAGGTGGTGAATATTGAGTATTACTTTATTTATTTCCTTGCAAATTCCCAATTTCCCTTTTTTTAGCAAATGAAATAATTTGTTTTCAAATAATACTTTGTATTATGTTTGGATTTTATGACTTTAAAAAATGATCCTTTGATATTTTTAAGAGTTGGAAAGTTAGTGCACAGTAAAGATAAGATGTCATTTAAAAAAAAGATCTCATTTAATTTTTATGCTAAATAAATGAAGTTTGTTTTTTTCCATTGGTAATGGACCTGCTTTCATGTACTAACTGATGAATATTTTATTCTTCTCTTCTTCAATGCCTTCATAGTCTTCCTTTGGCCCAAGAAAGACAAATTAACTTTCATGTCTCAGGAAGAGTATAATAGAGGTGAACCAAAGAGCAAACAAGATAACTCACAAATTGAGGTTCAAAGTAAGTTTTCAAAATTGGAGACAAAGTGACATTCTGTTTTCACTTATGGTAACACAAGGTTGGATGATCTGCATATCATTATTTCTATGTGGATAGATGATTATGGAAAATGTTTGCCAATTACTTCTTCTCCATCCAATGTCTATTGACCTCATGATACTATATTGACTCCCAGACACTAATTGTCTCCCATCATAGAAAAGTGGAGGTTATTTAAATTGATTGAAAAAGCCTTGAATTAGAAAAAATAAGGTTTAAATAGAGATTATTTGCACTGATAGAAAAATCAAAGTAATTTGTATTTTCTTTTTGCTGATTTTAAAGTCTGAAGTAGGTATTTGTTACATTTTTTGTCTAATACAAACCCTAAAATCAAAGGTTACTTTTGTGGGTTCTTCCAAAATCCCTTAGTATTATAATCTCATAGTTTTAAGTCATTGGAAGTAGTAATACTGAGTGGAAAATCCAAACTTTTATCTCCCCCAAACCACATAGAAAATTCTTGATTATGAGTCTAGCAGTCTTATTTGGGCAGCCATTCATCTGAATTAACAACATATTAAGCCTATTTCTCCCAGAAGGCACATTATAATCAAGTGCATGAGATTGTATTAAACATTAACAGTGAGGGCAATGTTCATCTTTGTTAAAATTGCTGTCAAACTTTCAGACATCATAATTTTCCTTTGTTCATTCATGTGATGCACATATATTTATCACATGTCTACTGTATAAGCAAACATCATGTAGATGCCCCATCCCAGAGCCCATGATTTGTTTAGTTGACAATGTGAATACTGGAGGTAAAATACTGATGAGGAAGACATTGAAGACTTTACAAGTTCCTTTAGAAAAATCATGCCCATGGGAAATCAACTATCCTTATAATGGAATCCCTGCTTATATTGCCTATGGACTGGGGCTCAACCAGAGTCTTTCTAAGGAAAGTAGATTATTTCAAGTGGCCAGATCTTTGCTCCCAAGCTATTTCAGTTCCATTTCCCACCTCAGTCTTATGATTGACTCTGTTTCTTGCTTCAGTGCTTGTTGACTTAGATACCTTGACCTTTTAATTTTGGTGTAGGTAATATCCCTGAGGTCCTTTCTTGTACACTCTCATAATTGTTTTTAAATTCTTCACAGCCAATAATTACAAATTTAGTGTCCTGTTGACATAGTCTGTGAAATGAAAATCAATATTTAAAAGCAAAGTGCTTGGGGTGAGCATTTGGCAGTGGTTAGTATACCACTTGTGATGCTTGTATCCCACATTGGAATGCCAGGTTTCTTGTCCTGGATTGGTGCTCCTGATTCAGCTTCCTGCTAATGCATACCTTTGGAGACAGCACATGATAACTCAAGTACTTGAGTTCCTGCTATCTATGTAGGCGACCCACATAAAGTTCCATGCTCCTGGCTTTAGCCTGGCCCACCACTGACTGTTATGGGCATTTTGAGGGTGAACCAGAGTGAGAGATCCCTTCTTTCTGCCTTTCAAATAAGTAAATAAATAAGTACACAAATACATAATTTTAAAAAGCTGCTTTACATAATATTTTCATAATTTTAGTTCCTTTTTACTTGAGATGTTATGCATGGGATAGAAATCTTATTCTTTAATTGAAATGCATAAATAGTGTATGCAGTAGGAAGAATATGAAAACTGGACATGCATTCATGGCTTTTAGGAAATTTGGGATAATCTTGATTGTGTTGATTATACTGTTAATATAACATTTCAATATCACTGTTAATTAAAAATGTAGTTGTATTTGGCAATGCCCACAGTTATGAAATCAGGAAGAGATGGTTGCTTAGCTACAGCTAATTTGGAGTGGTTATTTTAAATTTTCATTGGAAAATAAAAAAATGTTGAGAATGAAAACTGATAATTTAATTTTCTGAGTACAATAATAGTGGTATATTAAGAAAATTTTACCTGCTAAGCAAGTGTATCTATTTCTCCCATCAGCTTTCAAATTGTTACTTTGAAATATTACAAATCTTTCTACACAACTGGGATGGTTTTTGGTAGGATACTACTTTTATAAATATATAACTTTGATCTTATGTAAAATAAACAAGCTTGATTACAAAATTAAAACAATTTGTTCTTATTGCATAGTTTTACAGGATTAAAAGCAATATGATTTTAATGTTCACAGAGGGCAACCAAACAAATTAAAACAAGAATGAATTGTTGTCTGCCTCAGATTTTACTATATTACTCTTTTATTTCTCTTGTAGTTTCCTCAAAATTTACATCAATCTTCTCCTCTTTTGGCAGTATAAATTGTCACAAAACACCCACCACAATCATGCTTTAAAATTAAGGATTAATGATGATGTCTTCTCATTGAATCAAAACCCAGAGGCAGAAAATTAAAAGACAGGGTGCTCACACGTGAAAGTTATATCTATATGGCAAGTAGTTAATCACGGACTCACTTCTGCTAGAACTGGAATGAATGTTTTTCCATTCTGACCCTTTCTGTTTGAAGGTTTGTTTTTTAATTATTTTTTCTTTAGAGTATCCTGTTTCTTTTTAACCATTGCTTGTGATGCCGAATATAGATAATGTCTTTTAGTCTATTGTGTAAGACTATGAGTTAGCTTCTTCTTTATTTATCGATTTATTTATTTATTCTTTAATTTTTATTTAATGAATGCATTTTTTACATAGACACAACTAGGAATATAGTGGTTCTTTCCCCCACACCCCTCCCCCAGCTCCCATCCCACCTCCCTCTCCCTCTCCCATCTCCATCTCCATTATGGTTCATTTTTATTTTGCCTTTATATACAGAGGACCAACTCCATGCTAATCGTAGACTTCAGCAATTTTCACCCACGCATACACACAACATATATAGTACAGTTTGGGGAGAGAATTTGCAGTCGATCCTCATATTACAATTCAATGGGGACAGAGGTCCTACATGGGGAGCCAGTGCACAGTGACTACTGTTGTTCCTTTAACAATTAACACTCTTTTTTATAATGTCAGTGATCATCCAAGGCTCTTGCCATGAGCTACCAAGGCTATGGAAGCCTTTTGTGACCATAGACTTCGTCGTTATTTGGACACGGCCATAAGCAAAGTGGATGTTCTCTTTTCCCTTCAGAGAAGAGAGTCTCCTTCTTTGATGACCCCTTCTTTCCTCTGAGGTCTCACAGAGATCCTCTGTGTAGGATATTTTTTTGTCCAAGTCTTGGCTTTCCATGCTTGAAATGCAAGTCTTGCAGGCCTTTCAGTACAACCAGGAAGCCTTAAGGGTTGATTCTGAGGTCAGAGTGTTATTTACTGCGAATGTAATTCTAAGAGTCTGCTGTGTGGACTACTTCCCATGCTGGTTGTTCCTTCCTTTTTAATTGTATTATTTTTACCAGGTACTTGAAGTTATTTATATCATCACTTTTAAACTTAGACTGATCTATCCGTTGCCTTTAACATTTAATATGATCGTTTTAACAGTGCCACCAATTCTTATGGGTTTGGAGCCCCATGACTAGTTCTTAGGCTGTACCCTTAGAGGTAAGTTTGTATGACTACATGCAGAACTAGACTGTTTTACAGTTATAGACTACCTCCTCCATCTCTTATTCCCCCTCTTATTTTTAACTGGGATCTTTTTCCAATTGCCTTAAAATACATATAATTAATTCTGTGTTACATAGAGAGTTCAGCATATAGTATGAAGTAGAGAAATGAGAGAGAAGGAAAACAGAGGAAAAACCCAACAAAACAGAACAAAAAGTATATACATAGTAAAAAGTAACAATGGTTAACTGTCCCTTGACAATCAGGTCAAGGATTTTTGAAGACATTGAATATAAAAGTGACATTTTTTTTTGACAGGCAGAGTGGACAGTGAGAGAGAGAGACAGAGAGAAAGGTCTTCCTTTTGCCATTGGTTCACCCTCCAATGGCCGCCGTGGCTGGAGCGCTGCAGCCGGCGCACTGCGCTGATCTGATGGCAGGAGCCGGGTACTTATCCTGGTCTCCCATGGGGTGCAGGGCCCAAGCACTTGGGCCATCCTCCACTGCACTCCTGGGCCACAGCAGAGAACTGGCCTGGAAGAGGGGCAACTGGGACAGAATCCGGCTCCTTGACCGGGACTAGAACCCGGTGTGCCAGTGCCGCAGGTGGAGGATTAGCCTAGTGAGCCGCGGCGCTGGCCTAAAAGTGACAATTTTGCTTCTATAGCTTTCATTTTAGGTGTGCCCTTAATTCTCCCAAATCAGGGATAACATATGGTGTTTGTCTCTTTGGAACCGGGTCATTTCGCTAAGTATGAGGTTTTCCAGATTGCTCCATTTTGTTGCAAAGGACTGGATTTCATCCCTTTTGCTGCTGTGTAGTATTGCATAGCATACATATCCCACAATTTCTTTATCCATTCTTTGGTTGATGGACATTTAGGTTGCTTCCATGTCTTAGCTATTGCGAACTGAGCTGCAGTAAACATGGAGGTGCAGTGAGATTGCTTCTTTAGAAGGGTCTGAATGTTGTCAAGGCATCCTGGACACCTGGATGGATACTGTTATCAGATGTGATACTGAGGTTCTTCCTTAGGAAAGAGATATTTTGTTCTCATTTTATGAGCTAGAGAAGGCATGCATGTCTGCCTGGACTGAAGGAGAAGTGGACCTAAAGAATTTCTATTTTCTCCTTCATGATTAACAACCTAGTTCCCTTGAATATAGAGGTAGCTAATGAAATGTCATTATAAGTTTTGATGTACAATATCTGGAAAATTCCTTACTACAGGTATTTGGAAAGTAGACATGATAGTTGGAGCTTCAATAGCCAAATCAGATCAATGTTGACTGTGTGAATGGAAGCCACATTATAAGTATTGAAGAGCACAAAGAAAGGGCTATACAGAAAGATAATAACCAGAAATTCCTTTAACAGTCCTAGAGCTATTATTTCCAGATTTCTTTTGTGTAAAGGATACAAATCTAACCTACTTAATTTTTATCTCTGTTATTGGCA